GGACCTGAACCTGTTCAGCCTCCACAAAAGAAGGCTGAGGGGGGGATCTAGTGGCCTGTTACAAACTAGTCAGAGGGGACCAGCAGGCATTGGGGGAGTCCCTGTTCCCCCGAGCACTGCCAGGAGTGACTAGGAATAACGGTCACAAGCTGGCAGAGGGTAAATTCAGATTAGACATCAGGGAGGTGCTACTTCACTGTCAGGGTGGCTAGGATCTGGAACCAACTTCCAAGCGAAGTGGTGCTGGCTCCTACCCTGGTGGGCTTTAAGAGGAGGCTAGACAGTCACGTTGCTGGGGTCATTTGACCCCAGTACTCTTTCCTGTCATGGCAGGGGTCGGACTTGATGATCTGCTCAGGTCCCTTCTGACTCTACAAACTATGGAACTATGAGCCACATGCAATTAATATCCCAAAACAGGCAGGTGGGACAGTCCATGTCCCCCTCCCTCCCCTTGCCAGATCCAGTGCCCACCCAGTCCAGGACACACTGTCCCCGATTGGCCAGAATAGGAATCAAGTATGGCTCATGTTACAGACTGGCCAAAGCAAGTGCTAGATCTGGCATGCGGGGGGTGTCCATGGGCCTGATCCAGCTCTCAGGGCTGGCCCAGCAGCATTCATCCAACCTGTTGACTGGTCCTGAGCCACGTATCTGACCCACAGGGGCAGATAAGTCTGACACCCCGAGAAAAAGGAAGAGGAATAAGAGTGCCACTCAGGGAGGGTACAGGAGGCTAATTTGTGGTATAACTTCCAGAAAGATTGTATCCTCACTGTAACAGAACTAGAAAAGTACATACTGCCTCACTCCAACAATATAGGAGTTACAGTATTTAAAAAACAAAACAAAACAAGGTGTCAGTCAATATTTCAAGGAGTCAATTAGACCTTCAGCATGGGGACAAACTGAACACTGAACATGGAAGCAAGGTTCTGGTTCTAGAAATCTGGATCCCACTATATTAGTGAATAGTAAGGCTGTGCAAAATGGCCATGTTTCGATTCGGTTTCGGATTTGGCCGTTTTGGAGGACTGCAATTCATTTCAGCATTTCAGATCATTGTCCTGTTTAGTTTCAGCTGAATCTGTTTTGAACGGGCTGCAAGGGAAGCTTCACACAGCCCTACTGCCCAGCCAGGCAGAGCTTGGGACTGGGGGCTGCAGGGCCCCAGTAGGGAGCAGCACGGGGCCGTGGGTGGCTCATCCGGGGGAGGACCACTGCCCTCCATGCAGGCAAGGAGACCTCTGCGCAGATCTCTAATCCCTGTCAAGCTGGATCGTGGGGCAGGAAAGCAGCGCAGAGTGGCGAGCAAGGCTGCTGGTCCCTTCTATGTGACCCGGCTCTGCAGGGAGCAGAGATCTGCACCAGGGGTCTCCTCGCCACCACTGCCTGCCCCAGACCTCTGCTCCTGTGGAGCCAGGTCTCAGGGTAGGGACCAGTACTGCCCCTGCCAGAAAGACTGCCTGCTCCGCATTGCCGAGTCGCGCATCAGGGCAGCAGCATACAGCTGTTTCCCTGCAAGCCCAGCTCCGAAACTCCAAAGTTTTCCTAAATGTTTTGGATGCCTTGTTTTGTTTTGGAGCCTTCTGTTTCGATTAAGATTTGGTGTTTCGGGTGCCAAAATGGCCCAAAACTCCTCCAAAGTAAAGTGGCTGCTGAAATTTCATGCAGCCCTAGTGAATAGTTTAAGTTTCATAATGTTTCACTATGGTAAAAAAAGTTCTTTAAATAAGGCCCATTCAGATGACAATTTATTTTGGACTTAGTGTCCAACTGTTCACTGGAATAGTTATAAAAGTATGGACTCCAGCAAGAACAAAATTCCATAAGTTAACAAGCACTTACTTCGTTTCCGTGTTTCTGCAGAAATTCTATTTCCTGTTGTGTGAATGTGGTCATGGAGATAGACTTCACTCTGTGGGGTGGATTTAAACCTCTCCTATTAAAAAAGTAAAGCAAATGCTTAAGTCAGTGCTCTGGAAATCTATCATTTATACAGTATCATTTCTATTTTTCCCTGAACAGAACCACAACTAAAACCAACCCTTATTAGCCTGAAGACATGACCCCAAGAAGAAATACTCCTACTTCATTCTAAACCCTGTGGATGGTCACACTAAATATCCGATGCCACACACACACTTAAAGAATGTGGAAAATCAGAAGTCAAACACTCAGAAGTTAAGCAGTCCCATTTCAGCTTCATCCTTATGGACACATGCTTTATAGCAGAGGTTTTCAGCCACCAGGCTGGGCCATGATGTGTTGGCTGCCAGGTTGTGACTCGAGTCCCTACTCCGACCCCCGTCTGCCTGCCCAGGTGAGTGGCTTCTGGAGTTAAAGCTGAGCTTCCAGGATTAAAGCTGTATGGTGAGGCAGCCCTGGGAAGGAGGAAGCTGGCTCCGTGCTACCCATCCTGCTCCTGCCATTCACCCTCCCCATGCCGCCATTACAACTGCAGATGACTCTGCATCCAGTTTCAGTGGCACTGCACATACTCTTCCACTAGGTAGAGAGACCTGGTCGGAGGGGGGAGGAGGGGGCGGGGAAGGAGAGGGGAAATGTAACCCATTTTCTATCAAACCCACTTCCCTTTCTTTTTTACTTTCCCCACTGGTTCTCAATCCCCCTTTCATGATAGCCAGTCTACCCTAAACCTCCTTCCCAGTTGCATGTTTCTTTTCCAGCCCCTGCCACTACCCCCTCTGCTGCATCTTCCTCCATGCTGCCTGGGTAGTGGCATAGGAAAGAAAGGGTATTATCTGAAAGCACAGGAAAAAAGTATTACCTGCTGCTAAAGTAAGTGTTCAAACCCAGCACAGCCCATAGGAGCTTAGTGAAGAAAATGTATAGAAATCTAGGCTGTGCCTTGGACTGGAGCAAGCGGCGCTAGTGCTATTTTCAGAAAACCATTCTTCCTTCACTTTTCTTGGGCAAACCTGTTGGGAGGGTTTTTGGCTTGCTTTGTTTTTGCTTTTTGTATTATTTCAAACAGCCTGAAGCAAACACTTCACACAGGAGAAATGTAAGGGAGTTTGGTAAAGTTATAAGATCCTGCTTTTAGTTGCTAATTAGTGGGAAGTGTTAGGGAACCTTACTAGATGGGATGACCAGTGCTACCTGTATCATCATCATTTAAAACACTTCTGCAAGTATGGAAGATGCATTCAAACAAGCCATAACTTGCTAAAGTACCAAACACTGAATCTTCACTGTGGCAATGCTTTTTGGCCAGAGTGCCGAAAAACACCACAATGCCTACCTTGGAAGGTGCCGGAGTGCTGGTGTACCAGAAAAACAAAGTGAGGGCAGGGGGTGTATGGCAGAATGCCCTGCTTGTGCCCCTTGTCCCCCACCCAAAGCCCCTGCCCCCCAGCCCTGCTCATGACCCTTGCCCCCTACCCAAAGCCCACGCCCCCCAGCCCAGGCTCTGTGGCTGTCAGCAGCTACCCAGAACCTGGGCCAGCTGCAAACATCTGCTGCCTCTCTGCCCCAGCCCTGGTCCCAGCCCCCAGGGAGGCAGCACATACCGGCAATGCTTCCCACTGTGTTACCCTCACTGCTTCTGCAAAGCACCATTGGAACACAGCGCAGCAGGGCACAGCAGGATGCACAGAAAGCTATCTGCTCCCAGCTCCCCACTGCCCTGCTACACTTCCCCTGCAGGCAAGGGCAGCAAGGGGCACAACCCTCCACTGCTAACCACACTGTTCCCGTGCACACAGGGGAAGTGTGGCAGGGCAGCAGTGACCTGGGAGCAGGCAGCTTTCTGTACCCTGCCACACCGGGTTTCAACACTGCTTTGCAGAAGCAGCAAAGGCAGCACAGCAGAGAGCACGGCCAGTATGTGCTGCCTCCCTGGAGCCTGGGGCCGGGTCTGTGGCCGGGGCCAGGAGGCAGTAGATGTTTGCAGCTGGCCCAGGTTCTGGGTAGCTGCTGATAGCCACAGAGCCCAGGCTGCTTGCAGCAGGGCTTCCATGGGAGTAGCCCAAGCTCTGTGGCCATCAGCAGTTACCCAGAGCTGGGGCTGGCTGCAGCCAGGAGGCTACAAAACAGCTGCTGCCCCCTCACCCCAGCCCCAAGCCCAGCTGTCTCCTGGCCCTGGGCTCCAGGAAGGCAGCAGGTGCCAGCACTGCAGCAGCTGTTTGTAACCTCCTGGCTGCAGATGGCCCTGGTAGCTGCTGATAGCCACGGAGCCCAGGCTGCTCCCAGCAGCCTGCTGGCAGCAGCCCGGGCTCCCAGCTGGCAGCAGCTACCCAAATCTGGGGCTGGCTGCAGCCACAAGGCTACAAACAGCTGCTGCCTCCCCGGCCCCAACACATGCCGAGGAAAATGGCTTCACGTGCCATGCTCAACACGTGCCGGGGGTTGCCAACCCCTAGCTTAGACCATACTGCAATCTCATACACTTTACAATAATTTACATTAATACAAATAAGCAATCCTTATTTCTTAGTGGTTACAGTGCCGATTCAAGCTGATATAAAATGTGAAAAATAAATACTAGAATGACCTCAAGTCAAGCATCAGTGACCTTACAGACCAACAGTCTCCCTCAAAGGGGAAAAAAAACCAAAACAGAACAGAAAGATCAGAAGAAACCAGCTGAAAGTGTGTTCATAAAGGATTAAAAAGAGCTTGTCTTACAGAATTTGTTGGACTCAGTTTGTCTCTTGTATGGAGAGTTGTCTTTCTAGCCACAATCTGACAAACACAGGAAACAGTACCACAGTAGAGAAACCATTACAATGTTCAAAGGAATATTAAACTTCTCTTCAGACTCCACTAATTAGAAATAATCTAATTTGGCTTTTCTTTAATTCTAAAGACATCTTGGACCTTCCTTGGTATTTCAAAATATCTTATCTGGGAGATTTAGATATTAGTAATCGATTCTTCACCACAAATTTGAATTGACATAGAAAATGAGTTCCTCCAACTTCTTTTGGCAAAATATGCAAGTACTGATAGAAAGAAGTGTTCTGCCAACAGGGAGAAATGGGAAATGGAAGGTTTCCTGCAAATGGGGAAGAGCTACAGAAGAAACACTCTACAAAGACATAAAATAGAAGGAGGCTAGGTGATTTAGAAAAATACATACGCACACTTATTATAGATAGGACCATTTTTACAGACATTATGCAGTGTTAAAAAAGCTAAATTACTGAACTTCATTTATTGCATAGTCAGCTCAGATAAGAACCTTAAAGCACAAACTATTTTGATACTTAGATATGTAAGCAATTACTTTAACAGGACTTGGTATTTCTCATAGGCTTGCTGTTTATTTTGTTTGGTGGATTTACTTTGTTGCATAACACACACACACACACACACACACACACAGAGTTTATGTAAAGAAGAGGAGTACATTTAAACAAAAGTAAATATATTATGTCAGATACTGACTGGAACACTAAACTAGGGGTACAGTATTCAGAAACCACTAAATTAATGGACTTAAAAGTTTGAAGTCACTGCTGAAAATAACTCAAGACTTAGGTAAAATATTGATGATTAACATTTTAGCTACAATATGCAATGAGTTCAGCTGAGAGTACAATAAAAGCAATAATTGTAATGCTAAATCACTCGCAGTTAAGAGCCATGGGAATGCTTATATGTAGGCATTTGCCATGCATAAAGTTTTCAAACCTGAATGCCTAATCTCTAACAGCTATGCTTCATTTACTGAAAGGAGCCCAACTAAATATTTGGGGGCATGGAGGTGTGAAAACACTGGACAATCTTTGCAGCAACACACAGGAAATCAGAAAAGCAGCAAAATCATATTTGAATTTGACAGAGCTGGAAACTTCTGCTTTTTCATTAAGTAAGCCTTTCTAAATTAAAATAAAATATGCATTGTTTCCCAAAACAATCATTGTGTCAGGTACTCTGGCTGTACAAGACAGAAATTAGAGTTAAGATTCCAGAGCAATGGTTGTCAAATCTCATTAGGACTCAAGGCACTCCTAGGAAAGTGCCAGCTCTTAGCTTTCACTCATTGCTTGATTACAAAAAAGAACTTTGCAAAGAACTCTGAGATACCACAACAGCAGAGAACTAGGGGTGCACCAATAAAGACTTTTTGAACCAATACAGATGGCCAGTTATTGGCCAGCCATAAATCTGTCAATACCAATCTGATTGCTGATATGCAGCCCAGCAGCTTGGAGAGCAGCATCCAGGTCAGAGCAGATAGAGGTCCCTGCGGTGAGGGAAGTAGGGCTGGGGCTGCCCAATCTGGACAGGGCAGGGCACAGGACAGAGCCTGGTGGCTCATCCAGAGGGTGCAGGAGAGCAACTCCTGCCACTGCACCAACCCCCAGGGGAGGCATGGAGGGCATGTGCCTCCTGAATCTGTGCATGGGGCAAGGGCAGGATGGTGCTGCACGCTCCCAGGCTGCACCGAGCTCTTCCCAGGGGCTGTGCTTGGGCAGGGTGAGGTGGGCAGTAGCAACAGGTGTGGGGGGCGCTACGGCAGTGACTCCCTTCCAGCGCTGCTGCCTCCTGCCCCACCCAAGTGCAGCCACCAGAAACAGGTCAGTGGAGCCCACAAGTGCATAGCAGCAGCCTGCTCTCACCCCATGGACAGATCTGGGGGGCACATGCCTCCCCCAGTGCTGCTTGCTTGCAGCAGTGGGGGCCCCTCCCCACTTCTGCCTGTATGAGCTGCTGGCTCTGCCCTGCGCCCCACCCCAGGTGGGTAGCACCTGTCCCTGCTCCAGCCCCACTCCCTCCCTCACTGCAAGGGCCTTGATCTGTGCCCTCTACGCCCCCCCCCACCCCAATTTACTGGCCAGATGCCACTCTCCATGTTCCCACGCTGCACTCCTGGCTGCATGCATGTACATAAGGCATTTATCAGTAACATTACTGGCCACATCAGCCAAAAGAAGTTGATTGCCGATAAAAGGAAAATTGACATCATCGGTG